AAGTATGGGATATTTATTGCTGCTCCAGGTGCATGTTCGGCAGACCTTGCTGCTGAGTTAGTTTTCAAGCATGTGGTGAAATATTTTGGTATGCCTGATGACATAGTGAGCGATCGTGACCCGCGCTTCACGGGACGATTTTGGACGACCATGTTCAATTTGATGGGGACCGAACTGAAGTTTTCCACGGCCTATCATCCTCAAACTGATGGCCAAACTGAACGGATGAATCAGTTTCTTGAAGAATATCTCAGGCATTATGTGACCGCAAGCCAGGATAATTGGGTGGAATTGTTGGATATGGCCCAGTTTTGTTATAATTTGCACAAGTCCTCGGCGACCGGTATGAGCCCTTTTGAGCTGGTTTATGGACAGCAACCCTAGCTACCGCATGATGTAGCGGTACAGCGGACTGGTGGGAAATGCCCGCGGCATATCGATATGCTCGGGCGCAGCACGAACTCTTAGTAGAGGCCCGAGATAGCCTTGCTAAGGCGCAGCGAAGAATGAAGAAATATGCGAACCGCGGGCGACGAGACGTGCAATTCGCTGTCGGGGATCTCGTGTTGTTAAAAGTGAGCCCTAAGGTATGGAAAAGGATCTCGGCAAAGGCAGTCCATCGTGGATTGATTCCAAAGTACGAGGGTCCCTTTGAAATCGTGAGCAAAGTTGGGAATGTGGCCTATCGGCTTAAGATGCCTGACCGGTTGAAGGTACATCCCACATTTCATTTATCTTACTTGAAGAAGTACCATCCTGATTTGATTGAGGCAAGCCGAAATGTCTCTACTCGAGCTCCTCTTACGGTGCGGGACCATTTCACGAAGGAGATGGAGAAAATTTTGGATCATAGGACCCTTGGCCAAAGTAAGAAGAGTTGGCGGACAGACTATCTTGTCCAATGGAAGGGTGAGTCCGAGTCGGACGCTACTTGGATTCGAAATACAAAACTACGACAATTTACTGATAAGATTGCGGAGTATGAGGCAAGAAGGATGGTGAACCCCCAGTCGACGAGGGCGTCGACGAGCTCAGGCGGGGGAAGTTTGTTACGGACCTGAGTTGAGCTGGACCTGGGCGCATCCCCTTATGTGCGCCAAGGGTCAAGAAACCGGGCACTTGTGCACGGTGTCGGATAAGGGAACAAGTACATTGACGTGGGAAAAAGGTTCCGGGCTAGCTTGGCGAGGATGCTAGGTTGCAGGGCCGAGTCAATGTAGACTGAGCATGGGATCAGTCAAGTCTTTGCGGGTTGTGCATGGCCACGCAAACACATGCGGGCAATGTAGCAAGGCGGTACGGCGCCTTCGCACTATGTTGGGCAGGATTAACTCTAAGCTATGCGGGTTGCTGATGCGGCTTGATGGGCGCGCGAGTGTTGGCGCGACGCTTAAACTGTTGGCGGGAACGGTTATGATTTTGAATGCATGTTGGTTGCACGTGGATGCTGTTATCTTGTTCCACGTGGCCTAAGCGGGAAATCTTCAAGTGTGCATGGCAGAATAAATCAGATGGGCGACGCGTGTACAAGACGGTTACATTGGACACGTGGCGCGCTTATTTGATGGTCCGCGCATTGGGACCGTTATGGGGACGGTTATGCATAGTGGGCTTAGAATATGGGCAGTTTTAAAACTGCTCGACGGTTACCTGTCCTAGCGGTGGGGGATGTCAACCGCAACTTTCCTGCGGGCCTATATAAAGGCGTTGAGCTGCACAATCGCGGGTAATGAGCGATACCGCGAGTTTGTGTGCATGCCTTGGCGAATTTTTCCAGCGATAGTGAAATTGTTGGTTGGGCGTGGAGCCCGTAAATATTGTTGCCTTGTCTGTTTGCTTGATGCTTTCTGTATGCGTTGCTTGTTGGTGTATTGCTTATAACACTATTCTGACTTTATATAATCAAGTTGTGCGTTTAGTGTGAAGGGGAAAGACTGACTGGTTAGGCGAAAAACCAGGCCGCACAGGGTATTAAGGGTGCGAAAATGTTAGCCTCTTTTGAGACTCTGTGACAGCGGCCCTGATGGTTCTGGCCCTCGAGCGTGCTGTTGGGCACTGCCTGGGCCGACTGGCGTGTGGTGTGCGCACTGGCGTGCGTTGGGACGTGCTGACGTACACTAGGCGTTGGCCAACTATCAACTTCTGCGGGCAGGGATATGCGCGACGCCCACCTGGGCATGCACGCACGCCACCCGCGTACTCTGCTTGACTGTCGGCGTGCTGTGCCCGCTACGTGTGGGCATGGAAACCACGGCCGATCCTTATAGGCCGCTCGGCGACTTCCTCCGGCGATATTAACATGAATCAACAAGTTCCAGAAAAGTCATCAACATCTTATTCTTGTTATAATTCTACCAGAATTGCTCAAAGCTCTTCTGCAAAGACTGGAGCACTATATCGACCTGGGTTTCCCCATCAATAAAAGCCCCAAGAACCTCCAGCTCATTTAGCTGGGACATCATAGCAAGAACATGTTCCCTTACGGGAGTGCCCTCGTGCATGGTCATGTTCATCAGAACCCTCATGGCTTCTTGTCGGGCAGCCCGCGACTGATGACCAAATAACTC